ATTTAATATTTACCGAGATGCGAGATATACCGACTCAATCGAGGAATAATTAATCATTTTTACCAATGGATAACGGCTATTACCGAATATCAGTTGCTACAGGGTTGTTATCTGTAATGAAACGAAAACGCAAACTTTTTCGGCATCTATGACGGAACAACTCGGCACAGCGAGGTGAGCGTTTCACTTTTCGTTACACTCCCCATTTCTTAACTCGCGAACTTACACTTACGTGACATAAGAAGATAGAAGCGTCGCTTCGGAAATCCTCTTAAGGAAGACACAAAAATGTCACTCGAGAACCGGAACGAGCAGCGTCGAACGAGTTCTTAACCTAACCTCAAACTAGCCAGTGGATATACCAGAAACCGCCTTATCGAGCAGCATTTATTTACCGACCTTGGCTGTCTTCTGGATTTTCTGAATTTCCAAAGGAATTCTTTGAATTAAGGGGATGTGAAAGTGGCACCCGAAAAGTCAATCGTTCATGAGAGTTTTCTACAAAATGGGTGTACTGAATCGTTTCAAATTTTACAACATTGATGTGGAAGCTCTAAGGTAGGTCCTAAAAGTCATTAAATTTGATTTTTTATAACAAATTTTGAAAACATCTATAAACAAAGTTTTAAAAAATTGAAATTTTATGGGCGTCAGGACTTTCTTCATAGCTTCCATATTCACATTGTTAAGTTTGAAACGATTCGGTGAACTCAGTTCGGAGAAAAGTTTCATAATCGGAACTCTTCACGCCACTTTCACATCACTTTAAGGGGATGTCAAAATGGCATCCGAAAAGTTTATCGTTCATGAGTTTTCTACAAAATGGGTGTACTGAATCGTTTCAAAATTTACAACATTGATGTGGAGGCCCTAAGGTAGGTCCTGAAAATCGTGAAATTTCATTTTTCGTACAACAAATTTTGAAATTCAGAAACGAAATATTTTAAAAATTGAAATTTTATGGGCGTCAAGACCTTCTTTATAGCTGCCATATTCACATTGTCAAGTTTGAAATCATACGGTACACTCAGTTCGGAGAAAAGTTTCATAAACGAGACCTCTTCACACGCCACTTTCACGTCACCTTAATAAAATATCTCTTTGGTACTATTCAACGAAACGTTTCTCTGGTTCAATGAAAGTCTTTCTTCCTGGGGAGTAAACGGGAAGTTTCCACATTTTCTTGTATAGCGCGTTGTACGAGGATCGGGTTATACATATTTGGTGTACGGAGCAGTTCTGTCGTTTTTTGTACGTGTACACTTCATTAGAAAAAAAACGATAGAACTTCCGTTACATCTATATTTTATATACATATATATTATATATAATATGTATGTATGTATGTATATAGCTTTTGTATATTGCGACCAAATATTCTGCCAATAAATCGAAACGTTCACATTTCAATATCGGAGCAATATTCCCAGTATTTATCCGCTATGTGAACAACGGCCTACCAATTAATATCGCAACATACGTATCTTTTATTATTATATTGGTGCGTATTTTTTATTATTAAATGGTGTACGGAGCAGTTCTGCCGTTTTTTGAACATGTGCACTTGTTTAGAAAAAAACAATGGAACTTCCGTTACATCTATATTTTATATACATACATATTATATATAATATGTATGTATGTATATAGCTTTTGTATGTTGCGACCAAATATTCTGCCAATAAATTGAAACGTTCACATTTCAATATCGGAGCAATATTCTCAGTACTTAACCGCCATATGAACAACGGCTTACCAATATTGTACCAATTAATATCGCAACGTACGTATCTTTTATTATTATATTTCACCGGGAATCCTCTCAAGTTACGGTCTGGTAGATTCATGATAACTTAGTTTCACCTCCAATGCGCGTCCACTTTTTTAACCTTTTGCATGCAGAACGAGTCGACCAGAAGCGCATGTTAAATAGAACATTAAAAAAAAAACGCCTTAAATGTGGGTTTCGTCATACGCTATTTTGTTATTCATTTTGCCGGCGACTTTTTAAAATTTGCATCTGACGTTCGTTTAAACAAACTACATGTCAGACACGGAAATGTCTGAGAGCAAATACCACTGGACGTTACCGAGTCGAGTTTCCATTTTTTGCCAACAAGTTGACGTCCTGAACGCATATATGCATCGATCGTCTGTAAAAAGTTAAGTGATTTTCTTTTTTCGTTAAAGTTGAATTAAACTGAAAATGAATTGAAGTCGAATAAAAACGTCCGTTAGAAATATAGTACACGTGCAATCGCAGCTTTTCAAGATACAACATTCCGAAATTTGTTATAGAATTGCGCTTGGGGTTTATAGTTTACGAATTTCTGAGAACGTGTATTTTAAATTTCGAAATTTTTCAAATGCCAATTTTCGATCACGTCTGCATGAATTCACGAACAATGGGGTAAGAAGGCACAAGTACGACTGTCATAAGAAATGTACACGAATTTTCGGATACTTTTGTTTACCGACTCTCGAAGCCCAATCTCGTGCATGAAATTCTTTTCGCTTCACTAACTATCCACTGTCCACTATCATTTGGGATGCGACCCGATGATTCTTACAAAATCAATTTTACTAGAGCCAAGAAAATTCTTCAATTTTTTTGAATTTTAGAAATTTCTTCGACAAGAAATGTTTTCTAGACCGCAAGTAATTAATTTCCTCTGTAAGTAATTATTTTCTCTCAATTTGCACGGAAGGTCGCAGATTTTCGGGAGCCGGGTAGTCCGCTACATCTTTCACATGATTCTTACAAAATCAATTTTACTGAAACAGAGAAATTCCTTAGATTTCAGAAGTATCCGACATTTCTTAAATCTCTTCGACAAGAAACGTACATCTTCCTCATGATTCTTACAAAATCAATTTTACTGGAGCCAAGAAATTCCTTAAACTTCAGAAATGTTCGACATTTCTTAAATCTCTTCGACAAGAAACGTATCCAAAGCCGTGAGTGATTAATTTCCTCTGTAATTATTTTCTCTCAAATTGCGCAGAGGGTCATGGATTTTCGGAAGCCGGACAGCCCGCAGCATCTTCTCCATGATTCTTACAAAATACAAAGCTGCGAGTAATTAACTTCCCCTGTAATTATTATCTCTCAATTTGCGCGAATGGTCACAAATTTTCGGGAGCCGAATAGCCCGCGACATCTACCAAATGATTCTTACAAAATCAATTTTATTAAAGCAAAGAGATTCCTTAAACTTCAGAAATATCCGACATTTCTTAAGTCTCTTCGATAAAAAACGTATCCAAAGCTGCGAGTAATTAGTTTCCTCCGTAAGTAATTATTATCTCTCAATTTGCGCGGAAGGTCGTGGATATTCGGGAGTCGGGCGTCCTCCAGGGTCGCGGAATGCGACTCTCCGCGCTCCGCTCGCCGAGAGCGACTCGATTCGGCGCGCCTTCGCGTCGCGTCGCCGCGCTCTCGGTGTGTCGGTGCGGCGCGGTCGGTGTGTCAGTGCGCGTTCGCCGGCCGCGGCGCACGCCCATCCGGCGAGCCAATGGGCGCGCGCTACGTCATCTCGTACGATGTAACGGAAAGGCCGACCCACGTGGTGCCGCCGCGCTCTCTCAAGGGACGGCGCGCGGCGCGCTATTTTCGTAGAGCCTTAACGAGCCCCTCTTTAGGGACGCGCCGACTCGGACCTTTCTAGAAATCCGCCCCGACCGCGTTTATATCAAATGGCGAAGCGAAAGGCGCAAATACCCGCGGCAAGCGCTTAAAGCGTTTAAATACCTCGCCGGACGGAGTACTCAATGAAACGACGCCAAAATATGTACACATAAATAAGCGAGTTAAAGGTCTCTTCGAGCACCTTAGTTTACATAGATCAGTCGGTAGGTGGGCCAAAGCGTGGTTTTTGCCAAATTCTCGGGTGTAAACCGGGATTTTAGTCGAATCGAGCCCCTGATTAAGGGGATGTGAAAGTGGCATCTGAACTCTCAATTGTTCATAAAACCTTTCTACGAACTGGGTGTCTCAAATCGTTCCATACTTTAAAACGTGAATATGTAGACCTTAAGGTAGGTCCTGAAACTCGCGAAATTTCATTTTTTATCAAGTATTTTTAAAATACCTATAAACAAATTTGAAAAGTATTGAAATTTCATGAGTTTCAGGACCTTTCTTATAGTTTCCCTATTGACGTTGTAAAGCTTCACCCTATTCGGTAAGCCGTGTTGGGAGGAAAGTTTTATAAACAAAACCTCTGCGACGCCACTTTCACATCGCCTTAACGCTAGAACTACTGGTGAATTTTTTTTTTATAGGATGGGCCATTTGAAACCAGTCATTTTTACTGGTCTCGATAGTTCTAGGGTCAAGACTCGGACGAAAGGATTAATTTGTGTAAAATCGTAAGTTACGTGGAGAATTTGACCAAAAACTTGGTAAACGGTAGATTGGGGTGAGCGATAGGGGAAAACGAGCACTTTTCGAGAATCACGTTGGACGGGATTTCCGGTGGGACGGAATTCCCCTGGAGCGCGGAATTTCCCTTAGAGCGGATCCAGGGGAAATGAAACGGTTTCCGCGTTCACTTCAAATCCTCCGATTAAGGTCCGTCTACTCCCGGGTTCGAACAATTCGCGACGAGGAAATGCAAGACCAGGACCGACTTTGCAAATCACCGCATCCCAGAGAGCGATAATATAAGTTTTTACCCGGGATTAAAAACTGCGCGAGAGGCGCGTGGGGTAGGTCGGTACCTTCTCGAAGGTCGAACGCAGAGGATGTAGGTTAGCGAAGCTCCTCGTAACACCTGACATAACCTATGCGCCCTACCTCGATTTTTGGATGCCTTCCTGCCATCGGGTTCAAACGGACCCATGGAAACGCGACTCGAAGGTATCGTTTCATTCCGATCTCGTTTACATAATTATCATTCAGGCAATCGAGTGCAAAGGAGAACGAAAAATGCACCCGAAGGGGTTTTCGCAGGGTATCGTTTGCTTTGATGACGATCAAATCGATCGAAGATACTCACGAGAGTACAGCGCGGTCACGATGATCGCCAGCCAGGAGAGCTGCTTCTCGAACACCTTGCTCATGACTGCCGTGTATTAATTCCCGAATGCGGAACGAGCTAAAAGTCCTCCCCGTCACTCGCAAATTGAAATATAAAATATATATGAAACAATATGAGATTCCGGAAACCTCGAGCCGCGACGATCTTCCGGTCGCGAGGGCGACGGATCACGGTCCGGCGCGTGGTCGAGGCGACAAACTCGACCGACGACGAATATACCGTATTTTGCGGCTTCCCTCGGTCCGTCTAAACGCCGGTCGCAAGGAACGAGCCCCCGTTAACTCGCTGCCGTACCGTACGACCGGCCGTGCGCGACTGAATGTACGCCAGGTTTTTGGCGGCACGCAGCTTTGAAGGATACGGCCGGGTGATGCGCGCATGCGCCGATCGCTCACGCCACTAACCTCCTCCCTCCCCCGCCCGAGACTTACTCCGTCACCTCCCTCCCTGCTGCCACCTACCACCTTCCATCCTGTACCGACCGTGGCCGACCCCCTCCCCCCGCACGCCGGGACGGCTGACGTCCGACGCCGCGGCCGGCCCTTTAAAGGCCGATGAGGACGCGTCCGTCCCGCGTCCGTCCCGCGTCCGTCCCGCGTCCGTGCACTGATGGATGTATTGTCTTCGTAGATTTATATCGAGGTGTTTACAAGTATTGGTAACCGATCCGTCCGTCCGCGTCAGTGCTCCGGCGGTGAAGGTCGGGTCGGATGGATTCGTGCCGCATCCGTACCGTATCCGTGTTATGCTCGTCCATGCAATGATGGACGTATATCGTCTTCGTAAATTATATCGAGATGTTTACAAGTATTCGTAGCAGATCCATCCGTCCGCGTCAGTGCTCCGGCAGTGAAGACCGGTTCGGACGCATCCGTGCCGTATCCGTGTTGTCCTTGTCCATGCAATGATGGACGTGTAAATGGCTTCGTAAATTATATCGAGATGTTTACAAGTATTGGTAACCGATCCGTCTGTCCGCGTCAGTGCTCCGGCGGTGGAGGTCGGATCGGACGGATTCGTAACGCATCCGTACCGTATCCGTGTTATCCTCGTCCATGCATTAATGGACGTATAAATGTCTTCGTAAATTATATTGATATGTTTACAAGTATTGGTAACCGATCCGTCCGTCCGCGTCAGTGCTCCGGCAGTGAAGACCGGTTCGGACGCATCCGTGCCGTATCCGTGTTATACCTGTCCGTGCACTAATGGAAATATTGTCTTCGTAGATTTATATCGCGGTGTTTACAAGTATTCGTATCCGGTCCGTCCACGTCAGTGTTCCGGCAGTGGAGGATGATTCGGGCGCATCAGTGTTGTACTCATCCGTGCATTGATGGAAATATTCACTTAGTAGGTTCATGTCGGGATACATTCGTAATCAAATCCGTCCGTCCGTGTCAGTGCTCCAGCGGTGAAGGCCGGATTGGACGGATCCGTACTGTATCAGTCGTATCCGCGAACAATTTTGAAATTTATCTCTAATATTCTTATACTCGTCCACTGAAATCCCGATCACGGTTGTCTACGAAATTTCGAAATATTGCATCTCGAAAACACATCGACTGCACGTACACCATACTAGCATGCCCCGTGGCGACTTCGCTCAAGATATGTGCAAGTACAAATTCGTCAAAACACATTTTACCCCTTTTCACCCACTAAAGGGTTGGTTAGAGCGAAATCCTAAATTTGATTCTTAAGCATTTGTACGTGTACTTTTTAAGGTAAAAAGATCGATACCTCAGCGGGCTCGAGAGATATTAAGAAATTTGCAAAAACACAGTTTCCCCCTTTTCACCCCCTGAAGGGTTGTGGTTAGGGCGAGATCCTGAATCTGATTTTTAGGCATTTGTACGGGTACTTTTCTTCGATAAAAACCTATTCGATATCTCATCAGGCTCGAGAGATATTAAGAAAATTGTAAAAACATATTTTACCCCTTTTCACCCTCTTAGGGGTTCAATTTCGAAAAATCCCATCTTAGGGGGCATCTATGTTACAAGAAGAACATGCCCTCCAAATTAAACGTTTCTATGGCCAGCGGTTTGGGTAGAACGATGATGAGTCAGTCAGCGAATGAGTGATATTTGCTTTATATATATAAGACAAATATCACTCATTCGCTGACTTATATAAAATATAAGGCATATAGATTTCGAACAGAGATTTTTTCTGTATATACGCATATACGTATTCTATACCTAGCTAATAGGCGCGTGCGCGATTTCTCGACCGAAGCGAAAAAAATTCGTTCCACGGAGAGCTTCAAAGTTCCGCGGCGGTTCTAATCGCTCGTAGCCGTATAAAGAGCACGGGAACTAATGTCAGTTAGGCGGTAAGAATCTTACTCGAGGAGTAAGTACTTTTAACTTTTGTAATTCCCGCGCAAGCGGCGAAGTTTGCCGCGCTTTCGCCGAATATCGCGCTTCGGATCCTAAAAAGGGGTAATATTTGGAATAGGCCAAAAACTCGTAAAGCTACTCGACTTAACCCTTTCGTTACCTTGGACGAGATATCTCGCGACCCAGTACTGGCCGATTAACCCTTTCGTTACCTTGGACGAGATATCTCGCGACCCAATACTGGCCGATTAACGCTTTTGACGAGATATCTCGCGACCCGATACTGGCCGATCAACGCTTTTGACGAGATATCTCGTCCACCAAGGAAACACGATATTATTGTCAGAAGTGTAATGTCGCTTTATGCGTAACACCATGTTTTCAATTATACCACGTAGAAAGTACATAAAAATAATTTCATTAAATTAATAAAAACTGTATTTATTTCTTCCTTTTAGCTACACGAATAGAATTAGTTATAAAATATATTCATCTAGAACGTCAAAATATTGGTGCTAGAAAGCTAGATTATCGTCAAAAGCGTTAATCCGCTACTACCGGATCGCGAGATATCTCGTCCAAGGTACCGAAAGGGTTAATTCGAGCCCGCCGACGATATCGAGCCTTCGACGTGTGCCGAAGTTAACGCGTGTTAAGGTGAAGTGAAACACGTCGAGGAACTTGACCGACGTCCATAAAGAAAATTTTTCTAAATGCCTACTTTTCCGACGTTCGTTTTTATATTGAAAGCTGGGTCGAATTATATTGGGTATTGTACCAAATGGCACACTCCACCTGTCGTTTTCGTACAATAATTATAAAGAAATCGAAGTAAAACTCCAGAAATCCTCTGGATTCATGCTTTCTGGGGCCCTAGTTGACTGCAGAGGGACCCCCTGCGCCATCTGTGATTTCCAGGTCAATTAAATTTTCACTCCGAGACCTCGTGTTCCCATCGTTTTGGCATAGAAGCGCATACGACACTTTGTTTGCCTTTATCCCGTTCAAATGCGAGTTTATCGATTACCAGAGTGTTCTAAATTGTCGTAAAATTGTCCTGACCCTTTCGTTTCTCATATCAGAGCCTTCGATAATTGTATATTGATCGAAATATGAGAGTTCGACGCCATTTTGGTTCTGGTCTGGACTGAGTTAAACAATTTTTTTGAAAAATCCAAATTTTGAAAAAAGTGTCAGGATAATTCCTAAGTGCTCACGAGTCATGTGTCAAAGTTACGGACAGTTTGGTCCAATACCCTTAAAAAGAAGTGTTGTATTTGAATCGACTGATTTGAAGAATGTTTCACTTCACCTTAAGGGGCTCGCAAATGACTTTTCGCCACGTAAGCCCTCCGCAATGCAATTTCTCGCTGTTTTCCTACACCTGAATCGACAGCTGGTATCGCGACTCTGTCAAAGGAATAATAAATTTTGCCGCGTAATAGTACACAATACCTTGAGAAATCTTTCATTAAAAAAAAAAAAAAAAAACATAGCATTAAGGCGTGGGGGTGTTACATGCAAAATGTGTTTCCAAAATTCTTCATATTTTCATTTACCGGCCCCCCGTGAATTTATTTTCTTATCTTAGAAAAGAAAATGATTATCGAATTATAGCGGAATTATTTTTCATACTCGGTACATAATACCTGATCTCGGTCTCGTACCTATCTGCGTGTCTGGTGTTAATTTATACGCGATGATGATTAACTTTCTGGGGAACCTTCATTTCGGTCGATGTCACCGAGATTACCTATCGTGTTCATTCATCGAGACACGTATCGTCACGTTTGTACATGCATATGTATAGTAAGTTCTACATACGTCTCCATAGAGCAAACACTATTGGCGGATATTCCATTCGGCAGACTGATGGAAACGGCGGCGCAATGTTTCCATGCCAAAGCGGCTCGTCTTCACCTGACGCTCGTGCGTCATCCGTTTCCTAAGATCGCGCGATGCGCGAGTCGCGAGTCGCGCGATCTTAGAAGGGATACTCGTGCAAACAGGACGCGGAATCCACGTTTTCGTAGATGTAAACACGCGACGAGGAATTGATTTTGCATCCATGCGACGGTGCTTGCATCACTGGTACGTAGAAATTATGTACAAGGACGTTTAACCTGAAATTATACGTTAGACTATGCAGTTATATGTAGTATATAATGTAGGACATGATTATCGTTATATAAGATTTTAGAGGTTATGGAATTATAGTTAATATGTTTTCATTAGGTACATATGCATATATGCACATGTGTAATATATAATGTCGGACGTGATTGCCATTATAAGAGATTTTAGAGGTTATGGTATAATAGTTAATATGTTTTCATTAGGTACATATGCATATATGCACATGTGTAATATATAATGTAGGACATGATTATCGTTATATAAGATTTTAGAGGCTATGGAATAATAGTTAATATGTTTTCATTAGGTACATATGCATATATGCATATATGTAGTATATAATGCAGGACATGATTATCGTTATATAAGTTTTTAGAGTCTATGGAATAATAGTTAATATGTTTACATTAGGTACATATGCATATATGTGGTATATAATGGCAGACGTGATTGCCGTTATAAAAGATTTTACAGGCTATGTTATAATAGTTAATATGTTTACATTAGGTACATATGCAGGTATGCATATATGTAGTATATAATGTCGGACATGATTACTGTTATAAGAGATTTTAGAGGTTCTGATATAATAGTTAATATATTTACACTAGGTACATATGCGAGTCCCAAGCCTCGCGAACAAAAAACGCATGACGATAATCTCTAATTAAGGGGATATGAAAGTAGCATCTAAAAAGTCATATTCATAAAACTCTTCTCTGAACTGGGTGTATCGAATCGTTTCAAACTTAACAACGTTAACATGGGGTCGGTAATTATGCATAAAAGGATGATCGTCTCCGATTTTCGTATAAATTT